AACAGAGAGAAATCAAGCCTTCGTTTTCTGGCACATTCCACCTAAGTATTAATCATGTGGAGAAAACCTTGGATGTGTTTAAAACTCAATGCTGCAAAAGACTTTTAAGAAGGAAGGGAACACCTGAAGAGCTGCATCTATTGAAGTGGCTATCAGTATTATCAGGGGGTCCACACATACATAGCAGAAGCAAACTCCTGGCCTGAGCTAGGAGAGAGCTCAGTGCTAGAGCACCTGTCTAGCATGCACAAGGCCAGATTAGGTCCCTGGCACCAGAAAAAAGAAGAAAAAAATAGAATGCAACTCAATTAAGTATAGGGGGCAAAATATATTTTGAGAAGATGCCTCTACAAATAATACATACAAATGCCAATATTTTATATTCCTCCCTAACGTGCCTATGTACAACACAACAAATGAGACTTAGAACAAGCACCAGCGGTCATCCCAGAGTCATCAACAGACCAATAAGGCATCAATGATAAGGAAGAGGCCAGCTGCAGGGCACACAAGGACACAGGAGGCTGAGGCAGGTGACCACAAGTTTGAGGCCAGCCTCACCTCATCTCAAAAAATAACAATTAAAAGGGCTATGACGAAGCTCATAGTGGTGGAGCACTCCTGGGTGAAATCTGAAGGAATGAGACATTTCACCAATCTGTACATAAGGCTGGAGTGCAGAGGCTAAACTAACATATACGATGTGCAATGAAACTTTAGAAAGACACAAAAGACTAAATTGTGAAGTCATGAAATAACAATTGATTTTCTTTTTGATACCTGGAGTCTACTTTTATTTTTTTAGCTATCATTATTATAACAATTGATTTTTGAGAAGGAATAGTGAGTAGCAAGGTTGTGAGAAAAATCAAAGAAATCAATAAGCACATTACATGGTGAAGATTAAAGAACTGCATGAGGGAGAGTATGCACAGAAAAGGGCGACTTGATCCTCTACATACTTGTGTACGTGCGAGTGAATGCAAATCTCACCCCACCCAGGTATTTCCTTTTATAAGTTCACTTGGTGCTCTAAAATCACTCACCTGAGCACCATGCCTCTGTTTCATAGCCTCTGTGACCCCGCTATGGTGTGTAGCTGGTGCCTGGTGCATAGAAGGGAACACTAAAATATTTGTTGGAAAAAAATCCTGATAATACTGATTGTGATTAAAGTTCATTATGTCATGAGACTTAACAGAAATTAATAGTTTGCTCCCTTAAATATTTAAATAGTTCTTGCACCCGTTTTCAACAGAAATTATCTAAAATAAACTTTTTCCAAGTAGACTTCCATTTAGTTAAAATAGACTGGTAAATTTTAGAATATAAGGTATAATTTAATGTTCTTATTATTATCAATATCACTCTATAATATTAGAGCTTGAAGGACATTAATATACATAAACACATTAGAACAAAATTCTTGCTTCTGAATCGATTAACACTTGGAAATTATACACAAAAAGGCCTGTTTTTATTTACATCAAGGTTTCAAGAAATGTCCAGGAGCCAAGCATGGTAGCTTATGCCTGTAATCCCAGGGGCTCAAGAAACTATAGCATGAGGACCACAAATTCAAAGCTAGCCTCAGCAACTTAGTGAGGTCCTTGGGAGGAACTGAGCAAGATCCTGTATCAAGGCAGCTGTGCAGAGGAAGTGAAACATGACATTGTGGGACCACTCTGGGGATTCCTCATGCCTGCTTTGTGTGTCCTGGACAGGTGACAGCCCCGTAACCACCATGGAGAGCAAGTGACAGCCTGGTAACCACCATGGATGGAGAGGAACTTTTTGATGAGAAAATCCAAACTGTAAATGCCAGCCTGGCTGATTTGGCTGTTCAAGTTTTCCCCTTTGGGGAATTCAAATGAGGGAATTCATAGACCCCTACACAGACACCAGCACAAACACTTAAATGTGAGAATAGATGCTGGGAGCAAAGGAAGCCCCCTTTGATTGTCCTCTCACTGTTGGTGCTGTTGGTATGAAGTGCTTTCTCCCAGCATTGAGCTGCCTGGCTGTGCTGGAGATCCTAGATTCCCTGCAGACCACCATCATGCCCAGACCTTGCACAGAGTGGAGCAGGATCTGCTGGAGCTCAGTTGTGAGGTGGCCACAGATACAGTCCAGCACAACCATTTGTCTGTGACCTGCTCTGTCATAATGTGGTGAGAAGCTGGTAGAGGATTTCCCTCAGCTGGCACTTCATATTGCACTCCAGCAGTGAATTTGGCCAGAGGCAGAGCCTGGGGGAGGTGCAACTGGACAAGCTAGGGAGGACCACCTTCTACCTCACCATCTTCCACCTGCAGCCTTTGACCAGGACAAGTTCTACTGCGAGGCCATTGAGTGGATCCAGGATCATGATGGGTTGAGAGATTCAGATAAGAGACAGAGAGGCCTGAAGAATGAGATGGAGCACAAATCCTCATCTCCTTGCATTGATTGCTGCTGTTTTTTCTTTGTGGAGTCTGAGAGCTGCTCTAGGCAGGTCTGTGTCCACTGCCTCCTCCACTTGTCTTTGGAGAGTCTGCAACTTGAGACTCTCACACCTCAGTGCTTCTAAATCACCAGAATTATTGGAGAAAAGGAAGAAGCCAGAAAAAATCTCAGCATTATTGAGTCAGATCTATTTATACTCTACGTTTACCAAAAAGGATTTAAAGCAAGCCCTCAAAGTGGCTTCTATCTGAAAAGCTAGTTCCCAGAACTGGAGGAACAAAAATCTTTATAGTTAGAGATATACAACCAAGTGCTCTGCTCAAGCTACACAAAAGGAACAATTGTGGCAAAAATGATTTGGGGATGAATCTAAAAAAGCTGAAATGTATCTTCTGGTTTTATAAAAACAAGACTGAATGCGTTAGTACAGAATTAAAACAATTGTGGCAAAAATGATTTGGGGATGAATCTAAAAAAGCTGAAATGTATCTTCTGGTTTTATAAAAACAAGACTGAATGCGTTAGTACAGAATTAAAGTTCTATTAAAATAAAATAAAAAGAAAACAAAACCTGGCTGTATAATCAGTATCAAGTCACATATTCTCATTCCTGGAGTGTATTGGAATTGTAGTGGGTTTCTTATGGATTAAGTGATGGAAAAAATACTAAATTGAAACATTGAATGCATAAGACCTGAATTATCGTCTCGATCTTTTCACAAATGTGGGCAAGCTGTTTAATCCTAGGGCATATTACTTTATCTTCTATGTAATCCATTGACTTTTCCAAAAAGTTTGAAATTTGAATGCAAGGAGCCTACTGAATTTGAATGCAAGTATTTTTTAAAAAAGTTTTAAAAACTTTGAGCATGAATTTGCACTTTTCAAAATTCTTTCTTATAATTGTAAGCTGTCTCTTTTCACCCATAGTTTGTAAAACTGTGATGTATGACTTGTCACTGCTTCTAGGTATAGTTCTGGTAAAATTCACATAATTATGTCAATGGAAGATTTTTTTTTTTAAATGAAAAATCCTCTGTATAGAAAAACACAATTTACTTAAAATTTGGGGGGAGGGAGATCCTGTATCAAAATAAAAAGGCTACAGATGGTTCTCAGTCCTTAAACACTCCAGATATTATGATGATGATAATAATTTTCCTTTTCTTTTCCCCCTCCATTCTCTGACCCTGGTAATTATATTTAGAACCTCTCAAAATTTTTATTTTGTCACAACCTATAAAAAGTCATAAGATATTTGAGGAAAAAACCCAGAATTATCCAGGGGCCTTGAAAAAGTTATATAAATATGAGACCAGAGGTTTAGAATATCATTTATTTGCTAAGGCCTTTAGTGGAAAAAAAAAAGTACAATATTAAAGAAAATGTACTTATGGGAAGTAGAGAGATGGAAAATAAATAAGAATTAAAATGTGGCAAATAAATGTTAACAAAGTTTAACTATAAATATTATAAACCATTCTATATAATATATACTTCTAGGTACAAAATTATATCACATACTAGATTTTACACACACATACATGCATATGTAAAAGATTATGTCATAATATGTGAGAGTTGACTACAGATGCAAAAAACTTAATACAGGAAAATTGAATCTAACAATAAGTAAAGAGAGATTTACCCGCCAGAAGCATGTTGCTCTCACATCTTTACGCCGATGCAATGCTCATGTCCACCCCAGGGTACATTTCCATTACCTCTGAATAGACAAAGGAGAAGTGAAGGCACACGTCCTTTTCACACTTACAGTGCTTTTCTCAAGAAGGGGTCACTTGCTGAAGGCAGTGCATAACTATAATCCCAAAGGTTCAGCAGGCTGAGTCAGGAGGATCATAAGTGCAAAGCCAGACTCAGCAACTTAATGAGGACCTAAGCAATTCAGTGAGACCATGTCTCAAAATTTAAAACAAATAAAAATTAAAATAAAAAGGGCTGGAAAATGTGTCTCAGAGGTTAAGCATCTCTTGGTTCAATCTCTGGTACAAAAAAAAAAAAAAAAATCCTTCCAGTCTAAATGGACCTGAAACAACTGAAGGTCTCCCCACATTTCTACATATAAGGCTTTTCTCTTCTAGCATGAGTTCTTCCATGCTGTTCAAAGAGACCTAGAGAGTTGAACATTTTACCACATTTTTTAAAGGGCAGAAGGATTTTCCCTGATGTGAACCCTTTTATATCTTTTGTTATGGGCCAGCTATATGGAAATGATCAAACAGACTCCTTATCATGAAAGAAATTCTTCTCCCATGGGAAAACCCCACCTCTGTATCCATTACTAATTTGCCTAGCACAGCATATTTGGCAACTATTAAATAGCAATTTTTAAACAATGGGAAATTGTTCTCTTTGGTTCCCACTTTTCTCTTTGGGCAATATATTTTATCGGGGAATAATTAATTAGAAGTTAGTAGCCATTCTTTAATTGTACTTAACTAGGATCACTTTGATCCATTTCTCTTTTGATTATGATTATAGAATATCCCATGACAAATACTAAATGAGAATAAAAATATGATTATGAGCACTGCATTGTTTCACTACTGACTTTATTCAGACTTTGTATTACTGTTTGCATGCCTTGCTTGCTTGCTGCTTGCTCTGTCAACCTGGATGAGGTTTTTGCCTTTATATATCCTAAAATATTGAGATTCTAGGCTGTTTTCCTGCAGAGATAACTTAGTCCTGTAACAAGAAGTCCTGGCCGGTTGAAATAAAGACTCTTCAATTTGGACAAAACTGGGACTCAGTATTTTCTGAGTGACTTGCCCCACGACATTTGAAGAAAACTGTGAAAGTCGAATACTGCCCCACATTGCTTATCCACAGGGTTTTTTACAGTATGAGTCCTTTCATACAACTGAACAAAAATGGAACATCTGAAGGCTTTACATTTCTTACTTGAATAGGATTTATTTATTTTTGCATGAATCAATCATTCAATAAGAATCATCTCAGTCCTTAGAAGAAACTGGCAAAACTAGAAGGTGTCCCACATTTCTCACATTCACAGGGCTTCTCTCCATGAGTATTTCCATATATGAGTAGAAAAATGAAACATTACACATTCAGGGATTTTTTTTCCAGTGTGAGTGAAATGGCTTTGAAGACAACTGGGAAAATGGAATGAGTTGTCAAATTTTCACATTTAAAGAGTTATTCAGTTAGACATGGTGGTATGCACCTGTAATCCCAAAGATTTAGTAAAAAGAACTGGGGATTATGGTTCAGTGGTAGAGCACCACTGGACTAAATCACCCCCCCACCCCCCAAAAAATATTCTGCAGTGTGAGTCCTTTCTAGTCTTTCAAATTGACAAGGAATATTGAGTTACCACAATTTACATTCCAAGGATTTTTCTCCAGTAAACTTCCTACGTGTTTATGAGTACAGTAGTAAAAACAGAAGACTTTGCTAATTGTTTTCATTAGTATGATTTCTCTGCATATGAGTTCGTTCATGTATATGAAGGTGACTGGATCTAGCAAAGGCTTTTCCACATTGTTTACATTTATAGGGTTTTTCTCCAGTATGTGATCTTCCATGTATCTGAAGGTCACTAGATCTAGCAAAGGCTTTTCCACATTGTTTACATTCATAGGGTTTCTCTCCAGTATGCATTCTTTCATGTATGTGAAGGTCACTGGATCTAGCAAAGGTTTTTCCACACTGGTTACATGTATAAGGCTTCTCTCCAGTATGAGTTCGCTCATGTAAGTGAAGGGTAGAAGACTGAGTGAAGGCTTTGCCACACTGCTTACATGCATAAGGCTTCTCTCCAGTATGAGTTCGTTCATGTATTTGAAGGTAAGAGGAAGTAGTGTAAGCTTTTCCACATTGTCTACATTTATAGGGCTTCTCTCCAGTATGTGTTCTTCCATGTGTGTGAAGATGATGGGATGTAGCAAAAGCTTTTCCACATTGTTTACATTCGTAGGGTTTCTCTCCAGTATGAGTTTTTTCATGTGAGTGAAGGTGAGAGGACTGAGTGAAGGCTTTGCCACACTGCTTACATTCATAGGGCTTCTCTCCAGTATGTGTTCTTCCATGTATGTGAAGCTGACTGGATCTAGCAAAAGATTTTCCACATTGTTTACATTCATAGGGCTTCTCTCCAGTATGAGTTTGTTCATGGGAGTGAAGGGTGGAGGACTTAGCAAAGGCTTTGCCGCACTGCTTACATTCATAGGGTTTCTCTCCAGTGTGCGTTTGTTCATGTAAGTGAAGGGTAGAGGGCTTAGCGAAGGCTTTGCCACACTGCTTACATTCATAGGGTTTCTCTCCAGTGTGTGTTCTCTGATGCATTCTAAATAAACTGGGATAAGCAAAGTCTTTCCCACATACTTTACATTTAAAACGTGCATTCTCAGTGTGCATGATCGTTTGACTGTGAAGATTTGTGAGTGAAATAAAGGTTTGACCATCTTGTTTACATTCATGGAGTTTCTCTCCATAACGTACTCTTTCATGTCTTCTAAATAAAGAGGGAAAATGAAAGGCTTTTCCACATACCTTACACTTAAAAGTTTTATCTTCACTATGTGTTATCATGTGTCCTTGAACCCCTGTGAGAGAAGAAAAGGCCTCTCCACGTTGTTTACATTCATAGGGTTGCCACCCAATAGAAGTTTCTTCATGTCTTTGAATGGAACTGGAACGACTGAAGACTTTCCCACATACTGTACTTTTATAATGTCCATCTCCAGCTTGTGTTAACATTTGTGTTTGAACTCTTTTGAGAGAAACCAGAGATTTCCTGCCTTGTTTAAATTCACATGGATTTTCTTCACATTCCTCATGCTTGTACTGTTTGTGTCCAGAGTGAGATGTGATCTGCCTACGAAGGAATGAAGGACATATGAAGTCTTTTGCACACATAATACAGTCACATGGATTTATTCTATTAAAATTTTTCTTTTGTCAGGTTAAGAATTGGAATATCACTGAAAGCTTCCCCACACTATCTTCTTTGCCTTTGATATTTACCATATGACCTCTGTGAAGAATGACCAGCACATTATCAATGCTTGATCCATTCATGATTTTCTATTTATTCATGGGTCCTAGGCTTACATTACTACCAAAAAATCAGGTAAAGGCTAGGTGTTCTGACTTGTTCAAATTGCCCGAAAATAAATAGATTGAAAGGAAACAATCCTTTGCAACACAGCTTCCCAATGGCTATTCTCCAAATAGTGATATTCACATATGCAGTTTCATAGTACTTTTTGCATGTCAAGTACTTTGAAAAGACTATCTGTAACAGTTAAGTACATACTTCTGGTTAAAAAAAACTTATACATTTCCAAGTTGTGCATATTTCTGTGGTTGATTTGTTTTACAAATTATATGACATTCTCAGATATTGCTTCCTCTTGTGAGTACAGTTACCTTGGATTGTTCCCAGACTTTTTGTTCTGATCTTCAATGTTCTTCTCTTCCCATTTGTTTCCTAAAATGCCAACCCAGAAAAATCATTTTAAACTTTTAGAAGCTAGAAAAAGTTTGCCAAATTCTAGGTGTCTTTTATGCTGTATTAATTCACCAAATGGTTCCCTTTTCAGGTTTTTCATAAATGACCAAAATAAACATGAATTCTCTATTTGATTAATTAAAGAAACATCATCATTACCTATAAAAGCCAGGTTTCCGAGGACTTCCTGCATCACATCTGTGTAAAGTTTCTTCTGGGATGGACCCAGCAAAGCCCATTCCTCCTGGGTGAAGTTCACAGCCAGATCCTCAAAGGTCACTGAGACCTAAAATATCCTCAAATGTGTGTGTAGTGGAGGCCAGGAGAGATTGACAGTATGAGGAATCTACACTCAATATGCATGATGCTCACATGATTCTCTGGTCTCCCAAATAACTCAATGATTTGGTCTATCAAATATTTACTGCACTCAATTCCTCATAGCCATTCCAACACTAGAATTGGGCTGCTCAAAAGGCAAACAGTAGAGTGTTTTACACCCTTCTTTGGTGAGGTCACAGTAAGACAGGCTTCAAGGTCATTCATTCCCAACTTCATTTTTGGTTGCACTTCCTTTACAAGTCTTAACAACCTGTGCAGTAGAGAGCTAATATTAGCACTCCTGGTATTACTTACCTTTAGAAAAGAAAGTGGAGTAAGTAGGAATTTCCAGTAATCAGGAAACTAGCATTTGGACAGATCCTGCCAAGCACAGTGGCTCACTGTGTCTACACAATTATTGTAAACAACATGGTATTTACTGATCTCCTGTTTCCTTCTGAAAGTCTATTGTTCCATCCTTAAAGAAGTGCCTAGAATCAGCCCTCACCTACAACCTCTGGGCAAGGGGTCATTAAGGAGTTTCCCTCATAGATAACATTCAGAAAACCTTTCATAGAGGTTGTCACAATGTGTTAACTGGGGATTGAGATCATCCGGGTGATTACACCAAGGAACAATCAGAAGCTTGCAGGTGATTTACTCCAGAACCAAATTAGGCAATAAACAAGTACAATGATTAATAAACACAGCAATTTGATAATTTCTCATGGTTATTGTCAAAGCAGAATGGGATAAGTGGAAAGATGGCAAGTTTCTCAGAAAAAACTCAATGATCCCAAGATGTCACATTGTCCAAATGATATCCTTACAAAGTTTTATGTCTCAAAACAATAATCTTAATAAGAATAAGCTACTTTTTTAAACCTCAAAGCAACAATGAAGGTCCAATGATTAAAACTCTTCTAAACAGCAGCCACTTCACTAACATAAGGTACAATCACGTGCCACATGGCCATGTTTTGCTCAAGGGCACTTTGAATAAAGATGGGCCACATGTACAATGGTTGTCTGTTGTAAAAGAGATTTCTTGTGCCTGTAATGATGCTGTGCAAACAAACCTAACATAGGAGCACTTCCAGGAAAAAAGCAGCATTTTGCAGCCCAGAATCCTCACCTCACAGTTTGTATGTGAAACAGGCCATTCTGTGTACATCTATAAGCATGCTATGATGTCTGTATAATGATGGAACAGCCAAAAAGATCACCTTCCAGAACATGCCCCTGCCACTGACATAAAACCATACTCAAGGACTTAAAATATGTGACCTCCTGAGCAGTATAGTATAAGCAGAGGTAAACAAAAGACCAAGAGAAAGCCTTCAGTAGACTGACCTTCACAACATGAAAAGATGAGCAAAAGCAAGTGTCATGAAGAGAAATCACAATGATGATCCCAACAAACTGGAATCTAGAGGCAAAAGGTACTGCATCCCTACATTCTGTAGATAAAAGTCCATTTATTATACATTCAAATGTAAAAGAATAAAACTTTTTTAATAAACTTATAAAAATTTTAGTTTTATTTGTCTAACTATTGTGGGGCAAATTAAAAAGGAAAAAAAAAAAAAAGCAGGGACTTAATCCAGGGCACTTAACCAAACCACATCCCCAGCACATTTGATATTTTGAGACAGTACTCACTAACTTGCTCAGGATCTTATAAGTGGCTGAGAGTAGCATTTAAACTTGTGATCTTCATGCCTCAGTCTCTCCAGCAGCTTGGATTAAAGGCATGCACTACTGCACCCACTGAAAATATTATTTTTTATAGAAGAATAAGCTAAACAATATTACAAAAATGATAAGCAGTAAAGAAAAATATTAATACTCACACCAAAGTGACACAAACAGAGAGATTGGAGCCATGATAGTACTATCGTGAAAAAGAACAGATCAGAGAGCCTGGAACAGTCCCCAAATAAATTCACACAAATATGATCTGTTGATCTATGAAGAAGGAAAGTCATTTACATTCGAGATGAAAATGGTTCCAGGAAGAGGAAGCTGCTCCATCTGCGTATCCTCTAGAGAAAAGTGGAAACACAAGCAGAAGCATCAGAACAAGAGCCTCACCATGCCCAAGAGCACTGAAAGTTCACCAGAGCTACAGGAAGCAGTCATGAGGAAGAGTGGAGAGCAGCAGCACAGTGTGACCTCCACTAGCCCTGAAGACAGCCTCTCTGGTGCAGGACAGCAGCCTGACATCCCAGTGTGAAACCCTGGTCACTGGTTCCACACTGTACACAGATTTATCAAAGTCTCTGCATTTTTTAATTAAAAACATCACAGGACTATGTTAATATCTAAAACAACCTTTCACTCTTCTAAGTCAGAAAGCAATCACTGTAAAAACTTAGTAGAAATTCCTGAAAAGAATTTAAGTAAGCAAACAGCCTGCATCTGGCAAGAACAGCAAATTACTGTTTACACACTCAACCATCACCTAAAATCTGATAAAGAAAACTACAGGAAGAGTTTTTTTTTTTTAAATCAGGTTTCAAAAACACCCAGGTTCAGGAGGCTGAGGCAGGAAGTTTAGAAGCTCAATCCCAGGCTTAGAAAACTTAGGGAAGCCCTAAGCAAGTTAGCAATACCCTAAATCAAAATTTAAAAAAAAAAAAAAATTTGTGTAGTGCCCGTGGGTTCTCTCCACAGTATCCTCCAAAAGAAACAAACAAACCAGTTGGTCTGAAGAAATAAGGAAGCCCACACAGGTCAGGAGAAGTTCTCTCAGAGAGTACCCAGACCTGCATGCTTAGCACTCATTTTTTCCCCAGGCTGGGGAAAGTAAAGGCAGAGTAAAGGCATAGTAGAGTTTTAAATAGGACCACTGCATGTTAAAAAAAGAAGCCCCAGCACAGCTACCCACAGAAACCAGAGGAGGAGCTCTCACTGTTTCTATTGTTCTTCCTTAGCTTCTGGTGTAGGTGAAAATGAGGGCAAGCACACTGAGATCTGGAAGCAACAGTTTATTAGTAGCACCACAGCCTTGAGGAATAAATCCCAAAGCTTTTAGTTTTATACATAAGCAAGTTTTGAGGGCATTGAGTCATGGAAGTTGGTGCAATCTATTACAGGGTGAATTCTACATTCCTTATGTGGGCACAAACTTGTCAACAGCCTAAGCACCCAGCTCATACAGATTAGGGACTTTTTCTCCACTAAATATCAAGAGGGATTGTTCTTTCTCTGATACTTTGTTTGCTCCTTCTGCTATTGTGGTTATCTTGTTACAGGCACCTGCAGCTGCTGCAAGCCTCCATGATAAAATGTCAGTAGGCAGAGCTGCTGTGGGTCAAGCTACAAAACTATAGCCTGTCAGCTCTTAAACAGTTTCCACTCTGTCCTACCACAGTGGCATTCAGGGAAATCTGTCAAACAGGCTGAACACGAGCTAATTCACTTCACATAGCATATAAAATGCAGTCTAGGCAACTGCATAAAGGAAAAGCAACATAGGAGAAAGGGGAAACACATTTTCACTCACTTTTAAACAACAACAAAAATGTATATAGAATACTGAGAAATAGAAAAAAATGTCTCATCAGTGGAAATTAAATGCCTTGAGGTTGATAATCCCTGAGAAAGATCAGACTCAAGAATCACTAGGCTATTTTTTTTCTATTTATTTACTTATTTATTTTTTGTTCCAGGGATTGAATTCAGAGGTGCTTAACCACTGAGCCACATCCCTAGCCCTTTTAATTTTAATTATTTTTATTTTGAGAGAAAATATCTCTAAGTAGTTCAGGGCCTAAGTTACTCAGGCTGATTTTGATTTTGTGATCCCCCTGCCTAAGCCTCCTGAGCCACTGGGATTACAGGCATATGCCACAGTGGTGGGAATAGGCTAGAATTTAATTAAATGACTTAAATTTTTAATATGCATGCACCTGAAACAAACTCAAAATACACCAGGCAGAGATATATAGAACTGCCCAGGACAATGAAGAATCCACAGTTACACTAGAAGACATCAGCACAATTCTGTTGGGTCTGAGACCGTGTAGCAGAGAAGCAGACAGGAGGGCTTCCCTGGTCATTAGCCAACAGGAAGCCCACAGTCTTCTTCAAGTCACAATAACACTCTTCAGGAGAGGTAATATTCTGAGCCATAAAACACCCCAACAGTGTGTATCACCAGTGAAATCCCAAGTATGCTCAAAGAATATGGGTGTTAAAGCAGAAATCATAAAAGAAGCAGCTGGAAAGTCTCCAGGGAATGGGAGGTGAAACACAGGTCTGTAAACAGACATGGGTGGAAGAGGTAACTCAAGGAAAAAGTTGACCATTTTGAGGAAAATGAAATGTAAAAGTCCACAATAGGAAATCTGTAGAAAACAGGACAGATGGTGCTTGGATGATATCACAGGTATCCAAAGAAAATTTCAAATAAGAAGAACTGAAAGCAATAATTGAACCTTCTACTTCAGGAAACCAAAGAAAGAAGAGCAAGGTAAACATATATTAAGCATAGGAAACTGACAGAGAGGGATTGAGGAAACCTCAATCAGGAAATAAGAAGTCTGCAAAACCAAGTTCTTCATGAATATCGGCATCACTGATAAACCTATATGAGGCTAAGAAAATAGAGGACAGGGTCTGGAGTTATGAAATGCTTGCATAATAAGCACTTGCCTGTGATGCACTGGGTTCAATCCTCATCATAAAAGTAAATAAATAAAATAAAGGTATAAAAATACAATAAAATTAAAGAAATAAGAAAACATTTTAGTAAATTCTGTGAAATTCAGGGCCAGATTTGCTGTGCTTGTTGAACTTCACAAAAACTACTTCTAAAAATGGAAATATTAGACCATACCTAAAAACAGCCAAAATGTTGTACAGATCACAGTGAGTGTAGACACAGTATTTATGTGATTCCCAAATTTCATAAGTTAATAGTCCAGCTCCTAAAGGGATGGTCCAAAGAGGAGGCACTTGGGTGGGAACAGGAATTAGGTGACATGGTGAGAGTGCTTGTGAGGAAAATCAGCACTCTTATTTAGACACATATATCTTTTCAGAAAACTTGTATCACTATTTCAAAGATAAGTCATTTAGTGATTAAAGTATCACATTTGGGTATTTTAGGTATTGCTAAAATTGTCTTTAAAATTTACCAACAAGCCAAGTGTGATGGCACATGCCTGTAACCCCTGCAGCTTGGAGGTCTGAGGCCCTAAGCAATTTAGCGATACCCTGTCTCAAAACAAAAAAATTTAAAATGGGCTGGGGTTGTGGCTCAGTGGTTAAGCACTTCTGGGTTCCATTCCTGATACCAAAACACCACTCAGTTAACATGAACCTGCCAAGTCCAGACAATAACAACAGCAACAAACTGTCATTCCTGTCAAATTCTCCACCTTGTAAGAAACTAATGTTTTTGTGAATCCTCATTTATAAATGTATCCACTTTTTTTTTTTCATAGAAATAGATTCATGTTCTGCAGCAACAATGCAAGACAGAATTTATCTCTTTTTTAAGTGGCATTCTGGAGTCAAGGACCTAGTAGTCAATTTGAAATCACTGAAAAGACAAGATCAAATTTCACAAAATTTCTCTATATACTAAGGGGTAGCAAAAGAGAAATTATCATTTTTCCCCCTTTTTGGTAACCAGGATTGAATCCAGAAGCACTTTACCACTGAGTCACATCCCCAGCCTTTTATATTGTATTTACAAGACAGAGTTGCCTAGGGTTGTGCTAAGTTGCTAAAGCTGTCCTCAAATTTTTAACCCTCTTGCTTCAGGCTTTGGAGCAGTGAGAATTACAGGTGTGCACCACTGTTCCTGGATGTAAATTAGGATATTTAACAAATGGAAATGTAAGTAAACTTTTTTTTAAAAAATCCAATTCTTTCTTCCTTCTTTCATAATATTTCATCATATTTGGCTCTGAATAAATGAACCTGGGCCTCAAATAAGTGAGCAGATCATTTCACAGTGAAAAACACAGAAACAGCTGGTGCTGAGGGAGCACAGACTTGTCAGACTCAAGGGGCAGGTAAGGTCCCTGCCAGCTGGACATCTCCCACCTGGTCCTGCTCACTGAAACACTCCATGATCACCCTCCCAGGAGACCTGGACCATGACTCCAGTCTATGAGGCTTTCAGGTTTGCACAGCACTGCACTGGGGTGGGTGGTCCTTATGCTCTGGGAGAGTTTTCCTCCTTCACAACTGTGAGAGAATGCAAGGGCAGGAATCACTGCTGACCTGGCCCCTCAGCACCAGCATCCACAGGCTCACTGTGCACCTGTCTTCAAGGAATAGGAACAGGGCTTGGGAGAAACAATGTCCCAAGGAGGTAGCTATCTAGATGAGGCCTGTTCCAGGAAATCCCTTAGCCCCAAGGCATCCAGCTTCTCCCAAGAAGCTGCACCCCACACCTTAAGCTGTCTTCTAAGAGGAGCTGACCCAGGGCCCAAAATTCCCTGCACCTTCCAAGGCACAGGACATCTGTGGGCACCTTGTGGACGCCCCAGGAAAGGATAGTGGCTGAGGACATAGGGCCCTGACAAGGGTCCAAAGGGAACCTCTGCTCAAGAAATTGTGATATGGTATCTACACCTAAGAAAGATAAAAGGAGAAGCACATGATTTTTACAAGTGTGAACTGAAGTTTTCTATGAAGTTGCTCTACATCAAAAAACCTTCAGAGTACTTGACTTCTGTTAACTAGCTCACCATGAGGGTGGAAAGACAGGATTCTGTATGGAGAGCAACAATTATCTTGGGCTATGTTAAGCCCTTCAATAGCCAATTACCTTAATTTCTGTATCAGATCAGAATTCTGAAACTAATAAATTTCTCAGACTATATCACTAAGCTTACCAGATGTATAACCACCATTTTCAAAAGCTAAGAATGCAGTAACAACAGACCTACAGAAGAAATCCCCCTCCTTTTTTTTTTTTTGCTGTAGCCCACCAATCTGATGCTCCTACCAATGCAATTGGTTAATGTATTGAAACATAACTTTGTTTTATAAAAGTTCATGTAGACCCAGCACAGTAGTGAAGAACTATAATCCCAGCAGCTTGAGAGGCTAAGGCACGAGGACTGCCAAATTCAAAGCAAACTCAGTAACTTAGTGAAGTCCTATGGAACTTAAGAGAGATTTCTTCTGAAAATAAAATATAAAAAGGGCTGGGAATATGGCTCAGTGGTTAAGGGAGGGAGGGAGGGAGGGAGGGAGGAAGGGAGGGAGGGGAGGAAGGAAGGAAGGAAGGAAGGAAGGAAGGAAGGAAGGAAGGAAGGAAGGAAGGAAGGAAGGAAAAGATGCAATCTCTTCCAGGGAGGGACACACACATCATTCAGGATAAGCTGATTAAAATAAATTGTTTTCCTCAGGTGGGGTGGCCAATGCCTTTAATCCCAACAGCTTGAGAAGCTGAGATAGGAGGATCAAAAGTTCCAGGCTAGGCGGGTCAACATAGCCAGATCCTGTATGACTACATGACTGGTGTGAATGTACATCATGTGCAGCCAGAAAAAGGAGCAGTTACACTCAATATTTATGTATGATATATCAAAGTGCATTTTATTGTCATATATAACTAATGAAAACCAAGTAAAAGAAATAAACAATTTCTGCCCAAAACAAACAAAAAAGGGCTGGGGATGTAGCCCAAGATTCCATAACCCTAGTACCAATAACAACCAACTACCTTATTTCATTTTAAGCAGTTTTTGCCCAAACACAGGGATGTGTCAAGTGATTATTCTTTCCCCTCAAGTATAATATTCAGAAACAGAAAACAAATGCTTTCAAAATTGTTATTCTTGCCAGAGATACTGGCAGAGGCCTGTAATCCCAGAGACTCCAGAGGCTGAGGCTGGAAGATCACAAGTTGGAGGCCAGCTTCCGACACAACTGGGATAAGATCTCAAATTTTTGAAAAAAAAAGGGGGGGGGCTGAAGATGTCACTGATAAAGCTTCCCTAGTTTTGATCCCCATTAGAAAAACAAAATATTCTTCGCAATATCTCACTAGAGGAAAAGTGAAAGTTAATAGACTGACCCGTTTGAAATACAGTAGGAAGAATGAATATTTGATAATGATGTGAAGTGGAGAGAAAGATGAGATTTTAGAATGAATGCAGGAGGCAACTGCAATTTTAATGGCCTACAGCAGCCTTCAGAGGAGCTAAACCAGGGGAAGAAAAGTGGATTAGCGACCCTGCTTCTATACATTTGGAAGGGTGGGAGCGGGCAACCAGCAGGGAGAGGAGGGGACCTAGAAACCTGGGCCGCCCAGCTCACCCCGCAAACCCATGGGAAAGGGCTCAGGGCCATACGCCAGTGAGAACTGGGCCGCACCGCTCTGCAGCTGACCTCGGGGACCCACCAGCACAGCGGGACTAGGATACAGACACCCACCAAGGGCCACCCGCAAACGGAGACAAACAAGGCCGCCCGCTCTGCAGCTGACCTCGGGGACCCACCAGCACAGCGAGACTAGGATACAGACACCCACCAAGGAGCCACCCGCAAACGGGGACAAACAAGGCCACCCGCTCTGCAGCTCACCCGCACGCCGGGGCCCCAAGGCAGGCGCTGAGCGGGTTCCGTCAGACCTAGTCGCAAAATCACCATTTTTTACTTCAGTAGTGATCCGGTGTCCTCGCGAGGAACCTTCGGGCACCTAAGTTCGTGGGGGACACGCGCAGATCAGCGTCAAGGGAGCAGGAACTGGAGAAGCAGAGTTGCTGAGGAAGAAAAGGCCGCGAGACTGCGAAAGCCCGCCCTTCCCCTACGTCGGCGCACCTAATTGGACAGTTCCACCCGGCGTCCCTGATGGACCGCCTCCAGGCACGCCTCTGCACCGTGACTGACAGCAAGGATTATCCAATCACTGGCTCAAATTGGCTGGAGTGACACATTCGTGACTCCAAAGGTGGGGCTTCTCTGCTGTTCTGGGAAATAATCCAGGTAGGAAGCCTTTGCTGGGAACCTGGCACAGAAGGTGACTTCTGGGACTGAGTTGTGGCTCCGCGAGAGAGGCTTTCCTGGCACGAGTGAGGCCCTAGGTTGTAACCTTGCCACGGAAACGAACAGCAATGACAGCAACAGTTCCTTGGAAGTCTGAGGCAGCAGGAGTCCAAGTTCACGTCAGCTTCTGCAAACAGACCCTGTATTGAAATAAAGTAAAAACGGTTGGGGACCCAGCTCAGAGGTCGACCCCACTGGGTTTGTTCCCTAGGACGGCAAGGAAAAAGTTCTAGATAGCTAGATATAAAGATATATAGTATACACTACAATCTGCTTTGACCTCAGGCAACTTAGCAAAACACAATCTCAGAACTTGTGAAACACTATTTAAAGATATCATATATATCACATGATATCTAAAAATGAAAACAGTTTGACAATTATTTTAGTAATTCTCTTCACCTCCTGGCCTCTGCTCTTTTGAGGAGGCAGCCTGAGTTGTAAAAGGAAGCAGTTGGTGTTCCTGCTTTGGCTCAGTGTTCCATCTTCCGCAGGATAAAATAAAAATAAAAGAAGGCAATCCTCTAGGACAGCAATGTGTGGTGGAAATAAAATGAGCATCTGTGCTTAATGTAGATGTTCTACATTCTACCTTTAGGGAAGTCCTAGGCAGAGACCTGACTCTGGTGATTCCATAGGTCAGGTCCTCTGTTTATCCCAAAACCAAACAGAGAAGGTCATGATGAAAAACAGGAAAGGACTTTGATCAGGGCAGGTACACCAGGAAGACAAGAGAACCATGTCCTTAGCCCTGGCTTCGGGAGCTGAGTAGGACTTTCAGGTTTTATAGAAAGGGTAATCATAGGCATGTATGTGTACAAAAAAACTGTATAGGATTTGGTATTATCTGTGGCTTCAGCCATCCCTGGGTCTCATAACATATTTGTGAGCTCATGCTCACTTGTCCCAATCATACACATCTCTCCATTGCACAGACTGGTGTCACTTTGTCTCTCAGGAGGAGTCCCCCTCCTATGTGTTCTTTCCATGCCAATGGTTTAGAGGCACCAACATTTTTCAACAAAAAACACAAACCCGTTTGCTCCTGACTGAAAAGCAACATACCCCTAGATGCTGACCCAGTGTTCTCAGCTTCCTGGGTATCAAATGGTAGTCAAACCAGAGTGAAGAATAAACAAATATCATTCACCCAAAATGCCTTAGGAAACAAGAAAGGGGAGCGGTAGGGGTTTTGTGTGTGGAATTGGGGTCTCTGATAAACTTTGTGATTGTGTCATGCGTGGTGGCTAGGAAGTTTCTGTGCAAAGGCATAGGAGGCCTGGCTGCTAGAAAGTTTCTGTGCAAAGATGCAGAATGCCTGGCTGCTGGGAAACTTCCATGTAAAAGACATGGGATACCTGGCCACTGTAGCAATGTTCTTCACAAGGAAGCTCTGTTAAGAATTTTATTAGTTTTTGAACTAGATTTTAGGCACATAACTCCTGGGAATAAAGAAACTTGCTTTCTAGGTAACTACAGTGTTTCACCACGCACTGGTGCTCCTGGATCTGCCTGCCTAACAGAAACTTTAGACAAAGGACTTTCTTAAGAGCTGCACAAAGCTCCTGACATTACATATTGTAACTGTGGAATGTAACTGCAGAATTAACAACCTTACTGATACTCTATAAACAGTAATATAGTTAAGGTACTAATGACCTAATGTAACCTATTGGTATAAATACACATGGCCATTTTCTTTCCTCTGCACCTTGTCTGTTTGTACCCTTATTTATTTTCTTTACATGTATCATCTATCTACTGTGGGCTTATCTGTCTCATTAAAGTTCTCTGGTAAAAAAAAAATTAAGTTTACAAGTTACTTTCTCTAGTATTTTGTAAGTGGCAATTGTTAATTAATCTAATAATCTCAACTTCAATAATACAATAAAAATACCCTTATAATATGTTCCTTTCTTCTTACTTCTCTTCCATGAATTTCCTGGATTGGGTAGCTGAGAGTGCTCCTAGCATGTACCCATTGTTAACTCATTTTCTAGGTAAAGTTTCTGAATATTTTCAAACTAATGTCCATAGTCATCTTTTATTCCTTTATTTTCTATTGAGATGATTCCTGGAAGACTCAGGGGCAACCATGTATCACCCAAATTTACATGGAGAGAAGTTGGCCATCTGTGTGTGCTTGCATGTGTGTGGTGCTTCTCAGAAATCTCCACTGAGACATTGCCCACAAAAGTTAGTCAAAACCAGCACTGACTGACTGGCCTTTTGCCAAGATGGGAACCAGTTCTGTTTTTTTTTTTAAAACATGTATCCCAGGCATGTTAATGCTCAGTTCAAATGGAAAAGAAACAAATGCTACTACTCAAGTATCTTATTTATTATTAGTAATTTATTGCATCACAATAATGTGTCTATATGAGTACTTCAGCTCTGAATCATCTGGTAGAAAATTTACTTCATCAAAATTGAAGCAATATATTTAAAATAAACACATAAGAAGGTGTTACTCAGGGAACAGTCTTTAATCTGCTTTTGGTTACACTTAATTTCAAATTGTTTTTATGTCAGAAATTACTATTAAATCACAAAAATATCTTCATGTTTTAAAATGGGTAAAAAGGGATAGCATTTCTCACTTTCATGATGTATTATTTAGAAAATGTTCAATATTACATTTTTAAAATTACAGATAATACCTTGAATGTTCTTAGACTTCCTTTCCATAGTCTCATCTAATTGAACAAAAATGGTATATTTATACTGGGAAGGAGGTCCTCTGGGTATAGATTAACCTTATTTTTTTCTTAACCCTTAATGGTAGTAAAATGTACATTAAATACAACTTATAATAATAATCAAATTTTGCTTCACTATTCAGTTACATTTAGCAGACTCACATTTGATACAGCCATTGACACTATATGCCTCCAGAAATATTTCATTACCCAAACTGTACCCTTCCCCACTGTCAACAAGGAACCTGTAAATATAGAAAAGGATAAAATTCCAGAGAAGGACTATAGCAAAAGTAAGATAATCAAAGGAACAAACTAAGAGAACAAATATAGTGGGTAAAAAAATAATTTCAATAAAGAAATAGACATTCTGAAAATAAATCATTCCGTAATGGAAATGAAGCTTATAATGAATCAAGTTAAAATTCACTTGAAAGTATCACCCACAGATTAGATCACATAGATAATCAGGCCTTGAGGACACAATTCAGGTCTTGAAAGCAGAGTATATGAACTTGAACACTCAGTATGCAATGAAAAAATAAAAACAACTAAAAGGCTATGATCAGAGAATTCATATACAATTTGAACCCTTAAAGAGGCAGCATACAAGAACTCTGAGACAAAGTCAAAAGAACCAATGTGAGAGTCATTGGGATAGAAGAGAAGATGGAGATGTTGACTGATACAATTAAAAACTTTTTCAATAAAATAAATAGCAGAAAACATTCTAAACCTTAGATATAAAATGGAAATACATATACAGAATGCATAAAGAACACCAAATAGAAAAGATCAAAACAGAAGTGACCTAAGACACATCATAATCACAATGTCTAACGTAGAAACTAAGGAAAAATAGGAAAAGCTGTAGGAGAATAATGTTAAATCACTTTTAGCAGCAAATTAGTAAGGATCACTACTGAGTTCTCAACTTAGACCCTAAAATGAAAGAGGGACAATATCTAAAATTCCTAAAAGAAAAAAATTGCCAGCCAAGATTGCTATATCTAGCAAAGTTATCTATCAGAATCAGAAAAAATAAAATCTTACTTTGGTAAGAAAAAAACTAAAAGAATGATCACTAAGATATTGCTCAAAGAATAACAATGATGCATTGACACAGAGAAAACCCCATAGTCACAGCCATCTGACACCTGACAAAGGTGGCAAAAGCGTGTTGGAGAACAGTTATCCTTTAAAAACATGGTGCTGGAGATCCTCCCACACCAACCTGCATGGGACCAGGCTCACAGTAAGCTTGGGTCCATCCTGTTACTGCCAGACACCCACTGGAGCTCATGCTCTGGCAGAGGACCGCCTCTTCATACCAGCAGACGATTGCAGGGGCTCAGGCCTGGCCTAGATCCACCCACACCGACATACACAGGACCCAATACACCACCCTCCTTCACCTGGAAGCCCAACCCTAACCTACTTCCATCTTGGAACACTGCAGTCATTGTCATAGCCTTTACCATGCAGTAGCCCTTACCTTTTGACAACAGACAGGGCCTAGAAGCAGCTGTGTCTCAGAGCAGGCATCCCAAAATCAGTGTAAGGCTCACCTTTTTAGCCCCATTTCTGTAAGACATTGCATCCATCTTGGGGAACCTCCACTATTATCTCGAGTTACCTCGACTATTGCCGCCACCAACTTTGGCTGCGGTAGCATACATTGAGGAACACCAGCAGGGTCAGGAAGCCCAACACCAAGGTGAGGTACAGAATATCTGCAAGGGCGCTACGAGACTATAGGGTAGAAATTGTAATATCTCAGATCCACACTGCAAGAAAGGAAGACATATAGGCAACATGAAAAAACAAGGGAG